TTAGCTGTAGCTCAGTGTTGATTACTCATAGGATGCAACCTGGTGAAAGGTTTTATAAATGTCGTGGCTGCACAAAATCTTTTCCCTCTATGTCTGCCCTCTGTTATCATCAGAGATCTCACACAGAGGAAAGACCTTATGAGTGCAGTGATTGTGGGAAATGTTTTACCAGTAGTTCTGTCCTCCATTATCACCAGAGAGTTCACAGTGGAGAAAGGCCTTATGAGTGCAGTAAATGTGGCAAGTCCTTTCTCCGAAGAAATAGCCTCAATGTTCACATAAAGGTTCACTCAGGTGAAAGGCCTTATAAATGTAACGCATGTGGGAAATCTTTAAAGTATAAGTCAGCATTCATTAAACACCAGAGAGTTCACACAGGAGAAAAGCCTTATGAGTGCAGCGAATGTGGCAAGTCCTTTCTCCGAAGAAATACTCTGAATGTACACATAAAGGTTCACTCAGGTGAAAGACCTTATAAATGTAACGAATGTGGTAAATCATTTAAGTTTAAGTCAACGTTCCTTAAACACCAGAGAATTCACACAGGAGAGAGGCCTTATGAGTGCAGTGAATGTGGGAAATCTTTTATCTCTAGGACTGACCTACGGTATCATCAGAGAATTCACACAGGAGAGAGACCTTATCAGTGCAGCGAATGTGGCAAGTCCTTTGTCCGAAGAAATATCCTCAAGGTACATAGAAAAGTTCACTCAGGTGAAAGGCCTTATAAGTGTAATGAATGTGGGAAATCTTTGAAGTGTAAGTCGTCGTTGATTAAACACCATAGAATTCACACAGGAGAAAGGCCTTATGAGTGCAGTGAATGCGGGAAGTCTTTTATCACTAGTTCCGTGCTTCATTCTCACCAGAGAGTTCACACTGGAGAAAGACCTTACGAATGCAGTGAATGTGGGAAAACTTTTACCACTAGTTCTGTCCTCCGTGATCACCAGAGACTTCATACTGGAGAAAGGCCTTATGAATGCAGTGAATGTGACAAAACTTTTACTACAAGCTCTGCCCTCCATTATCACCACAGAGTTCACACTGGAGAGAGACCTTATGCGTGCAGTGAATGTGGCAAGTCCTTTGTCCGAAGAAATAGCCTGAGTGTGCACCTGAAGGTTCACTCAGGTGAAAAGCCTTATAAGTGTAATGTATGTGGGAAATCATTGAAGTGTAAGTCAACATTCATTCAACACCAGAGAATTCACACAGGAGAAAGGCCTTATGAGTGCCATGATTGTGGGAAATCTTTTTCCGCTACCTCTGTCCTTCGTTCTCACCAGAGAGTACACACGGGAGAAAGACCTTATGAGTGCAGTGACTGTGGAAAATCTTTTACCTCTAGTTCTGCCCTCCGTTCTCACCAAAGAGTGCACACTGGAGAAAGGCCTTATGAGTGCAGTGACTGTGGCAAGTTCTTTCTCCACAGAAATAGCCTCAATGTACACATCAAGGTTCACTCAGGTGAAAGACCCTATAAATGTAATGAATGTGGGAAATCTTTGAACTATAAGTCGACGTTCATTCAACACCAGAGAATTCACACAGGAGAAAAGCCTTACCTGTGCAGTGAATGTGGGAAGTCTTTCAGTCATAGCTGCGCCCTCCGGTACCATCGTCAGAGTCACCTTGGAATAAGTCCTTATGATTGTAGTGAGTGTGGGAAGTCTTTCACCACTAGTTCTGTCCTCCGTGATCACCAGAGACTTCACACTGGAGAAAGGCCCTATGAGTGCAGTCAGTGTGGGAAGTCTTTCACCACTCGTTCTGTCCTCCGTTCTCATCAGAGAGTTCACTCTCGGGAAAGGCCCTATGAGTGCAGTGAGTGTGGCAAGTCCTTTGTCCGAAGAAATAGCCTCAATGTACATGTAAAGGTTCACTCAGGTGAAAAGCCTTATAAGTGCAATGAATGTGGGAAATCTTGGAAGTGTAAGTCGACGTTCATAAAACACCAGAGAATTCACACAGGAGAAAGGTCTTTTGCTTGCAGTGAATGCGGGAAATCTTTTCTCAGTCATGATGCTCTTAGTTATCATCACAGAGTTCACAGCGGCAACAGGACTTAGGGATGTGCTGGTGTTGTAGGGAATCTTTCAGCTATAGCTTCAGTCTCCTTCAACATGAGGAAATAAAGTTAATAGAGTCCTTATGGGCAGTATTACGAACTGAATGTCTATGTTCACTAAAATTGGTATGTTCACTCCCTACCCTCTAATTCAGTAGGATTAGCATGTGATGTCTTGGGAGATAATTCAGAGATACAGTTTCATAAAAATCTGAATTAAACCTGGAGTGAGGCCTCATGAGTATGTGAATGACACAATTCCTTTAGCCCATTATCTGTCTTCATTCCACACTTGAGAGTTCACACTGCAGAAAGAGTTAAAATATCATTGAAGGTGAGGCTGCCATCTTCCTGAATGGAACTTTGTTCACCTGAATGTCTACAGTTCAGTGACTTTCCATAAGTTCCAGCCTTTGGGGAAATACTCAGAAGTTGCATATTGCGTTCTGATGTGTCTGAAGTTATTGCTAGAAATCACTGCCAGATTCCATGGCAGAAGTCATCTCTGCCACCTGGATGGTCCCAGTAATGTGTGTCAGTCACCTCCCAATATGCTCAAGAATGCTGACCTCTCCTTTGTCATTTGCTGATAGAAATTATGGGTAATTGAACCTCTTCATTTCCTTCTAATTTTGGTCATGCATGTGACCCAGTGTTGACCATTAGTACCTGATCTGTGTTCTGGGTGGTTACTTGCACAGGAAGACTAAATCTCTTAGGGAGTTGTTGGTCTTCCAATTCTTCTGATAAATCTTTGCAGCTTCTAAGTCAGTAACAGGAATTGGATGCCATTGTTGCTCTGGTTTATGAATGAATAGATGTCTTTTTTATTTAATTATCTGTTATTTTAGGTGTTGTGTTCACTCTAAGGAGTGGTTTGAAAGCAGAATTGGGCTCTGCCCACATGTAGGAGTGAGCACATTTCCTTGTATTCCAAATTCATTGTGTCCCAGAGAAGATAATACCTACATACATACAGCATTAGTATTCTCCAGCCTGGGCCTTAATTTGCATTAACTCTAAAACCTATCTGATGGGCTGAATGTGCACCCACAATTCATATTTTGAAGTTGTAACCCCCACAACCTCACAGTGTGACTATAGTTAGACATAGCATCTTCAAAGAGATCGTGAAGTTGAAATGGGTTCTTAGGATGGACTCTTATGCAGTGTGCTGGCTTCGTGATAAGACATGAGGATACAGGCACACATGGTTGACTGTGAAGATAGGGAGTCCTCATCTACAAGCCAAGGAGAGAGACCTGGAAAGAAACTAACCCTGCTGACACCTTATGTCTAATTTCTAGACTCCAGATCTGTGGGAAAATAAATTTCTCTTGTCTCATCACCCTGTGTGCTTCTGTGTAATATCAGTTCTAGCTAATACAGCCTCCCAGGATCCACATCTGGGTTTTGTGGTCTGGGTGCTAGTAAGTTTTGTGTGCTCAGAGGTCACCGTGAAGAGGGAGCAGTTGAGACCATCTCCAGGACTTGTGGAAACAGGAATATTTTGCTTGTCCACAGCTGATAGCACAGAATGTCAGGCACTGTTGAGTAGAATCTCTACCCCAGATCCTTCAAAGTAGTCATGTGACCTGGTGTACAGTAGTCACTTGTAACACCACAGGGGCAGGGGAATTCTAATTGGTAATTTAGGAGATTGGGTAGTTAGGGAGTAGAGGAGACATCAGCCACCTAAGTGTTGTGTATCTCTTAAGAAAGTGTATCCACAGATGTAGTGACTGGCTGGGAAGGATAAATGTGCACAGAAATTCTTCACTTTCAGATACACATCAAAATAATCCAAAAGAGTCTAAATTCTGTCCTCTATAGTGCTTACATGTCAAGGCCATTGTGGTGCAGGCTGGAAAAGGACAAAAATGGGAGATTACATGGTCCAGGGATGTAACTTTGTGACCCCGCTTAGCCAGCATTCTTCTTAGTACCATACACAGCTATGGCAGACACCTGTTCTGAACCATCTGACTCCCAGGTTGTCTCACAGGTACACCCCAGCCTCTAGGGCTATAAAAGCAGGTCTTACTGGTGGTAGTGGTTTGGAGTCCTACTTCTGTTAAGGTTGCCCAAGTCTTGCTTCTTTCCCGAAGTCCTTAGATAAACCATTCCTCGGGATGCCTGGGTGGCTCAGTGGGTTAAGCGTCGGCCCTTGGCTCGGGTCACGATCCCAGGGTCCTGGGATCAAGTTCTGCATTGGGCTCCTTGCTCAGCAGGGAGCCTGCTTCTCCCTCTGCCTGCAGCTCCCCCTGCTTTGCTCTCTCTGTTTCTCTGACAAATGGATAAATAAAATCTTTAAAAATAATAAAGCATTCCTCCTCAAGCTGGACTTCTCACCCTTTTTCTTTTTCTTTTTTTTTCAGATTTTAATTATTTAGAGCATGAGCTGGGGGAGGGGCAGGGAGCCTGATGGGGCCGCCATCCCAGAACCCTGAGTTCACAACCTGAGCTGAAAGTAGATGCTTAACTGACTGAGCCACCCAGACGCCCCTCTTAGCTTTTACTTCGGTCATTAGCCCCTGACGTCGTTTTGCAAGTATGTCCCTTTCAGTCTACATTACTGTTTTCTTCTCTGGATGTGCACCACTATTGATCTCTGCATCTGGTTGGAGCATGTGGATTATTGCCAGTGTTTCCCTTTCAAAAACGAATCCCCCTATATATTTTCATTATAATTCCTTATGCGGATAGAGGTTTCATTTCTCTTGTGTTAAAACTCAAAGCACAATGACTAGGCACAGGCAGGTGAGTGTTAACATTCTCATGAAAGGGCCAAAATGGGGTCTAAACTGTTCACCACTGCATTTCCACCGGGCATATGAGAGAGTTGCAGTATCTTCAGTCCCTGACAGTACTTGATAGGGCCAGTCTTTATTTTTTCTTTTTAATATTTTATTTATTTATTTATTTGAGAGAATGAGATAGAGATCATGAGAGGGGGGAGGGTCAGAGGAGAAGCAGGCTCCCCGCTGAGCTGGGAGCCCAATGCGGGACTCGATCCCGGGACTCCAGGATCGTGACCTCAGCCACCCAGGCACCCAGGGCCAGTCTTTAATGTCAGCCCTTTTAATGCATGTGTAGTGCTATGTTGTAATTGCATTTCCTAGGCATTTCTGACTTTCAGCATTTTTTCATGTGTTTATTTACCATGTGTGTATTTTTTGTGGTACAATTTCTGTTCATATCATTTGCCTATTTTCTTTGATGTGAGTTATGTGAGTTTCTTTGTAGTTCCCTTTTTAATTTCAAATAAGATATGCATACAACAAAGATATGTGTTGGAATTTTCCTCATTCACACATGGTGTGACATTTTTCTCAATGGAGTCATAGTAATACTGGAAGGCTATTTCTTCATTATTTTTCCTGAGATTTTTTGTGTCCTGCACGATGTCATAGCCCAAAATACTTTACACATTTAAGTCTAGGGTGCATTCTTACCATTATGTCATCATTTTCTTCTTAAATCCAGCCATTCAGAAAAACAAAACTCATCTCTGTTTTGTAGTGTTTGCCAATTTACAGAGTGTAAATTCTTCCACTATGAGAGCGAGATAATGCTCAGAAAAAGGTGCTGAGTAACTGTATGTGGGTGTTTGGTGGAGAACCACTCACTGGGGGGCTGTGAGCTGGCTGGAGGTGTGCAGGAGCATCACAGGCAGGAGACTTTAATCCTGACAGGCCGCAGGGGAGGAACATCCCTGAACACCCGGATGGGTGACTGGAAATCTGCTGGTCTCAACCTAGTAGTGGCAGTTTTGTCAGGCACACCCACCAGGTTACGAGTTGTTTTCTCCCATCCCACCCAGGGGACACTGAAAGAACTCACCCTGGAGCACCATCCTCCAGGTGATTTATTTCCTTCTCTTTCCTCCTGCTCCTGCTCCTCCATTTTATTTATTTGACAGCACAAGCAGGGGGAGCGGCAGAGGCAGAGGCAGAAGCAGGCTCTCTGCTGAGCAGGGATCTGGATGCGGGGCTCGATGCAAGACCCTGTGATCATGACCTGAGCCAAAGGCAGACACTTAACCAACTGAACCACCCGGGCGCCCTCCTTCTCTTTCTGTAATAGTTGACAGCTGGTCCCCCAAGGAGTCTACATTCTGTGCATCTCACCACAGCCTTGGGCTGTTTCCAGACAGCTGTCTCAGGGGTAGCCTGCTAGGCCTGGGGATGGGGTGGGCGCTTGGGGCATTTCCAGCCTCCCCCTATCCTGGAAGGACTGGGAGTCAGGTGGGGTGGAGGCTGTCTCAGAATAGATCTGGGGTCAGTGTTGGTGCAGGTTTTGTTGTCTCCAGGTGGTGACTTTGGCCTTTTGTTTGAACTGTCCCATTTGACCTTCTGCCTGTTTTGATCCACTTTCAGCTTCCATGGCAAGGGGCACCCCTTCCACCCGAGGGCTTGCATGTCAGAAGGATCTTTTGCGGGGCGCCTGGGTGGCTCAATCATTAAGTGTCTGCCTTCAGCTCAGGTCGTGATCCCAGGGTCCTGGGGTTGAGCCCCGCATCAGGCTCCTTGCTCAGCGGGAAGCCTGCTTCTCCCTCTCCCACTCCCCCTGCTTGTGTTCCCTGTGTCTCTGTCAAATAAATAAATAAAATCTTAAAAAAAAAGAAGAAGAAGGATCCTTTGCATTTGTAGGCTGGGGGATGCCCAGGAAGGTCAGGTTTCCTGGTTCAACCTGAAGCTGCCACCCTGGGCTCTGATGGGTCTCAGCTCCTCTCACCTAGAGCTTAGTGGCTACAGCAGGGGACCACCTCACCTGTAGTGCACTAGTTCTGGGACTCTAGAAGTTTGGCCCTGACCTTTGCCTGCTGTGCAAGAGAGTGGAGGAGGTGGTGACGGTCAACGTAAATCTCTTTAAGGCTGCCCTTAATGCATGGGCTATAATGACAATGGCTTAAAAGAAATTCATTTAGGGCGCCTGGGTGGCTCAGTTGGTTGAGCGACTGCCTTCGGCTCAGGTCAT